CAATAAGTCGTGGTCTCTCTGAAGATAGCACAAGAGAAGAGCATGAAGAATTTGAGAAAGCATCAGATTTAGAAAAAGATGTGTCGTCAGCCATTGACGAAAATACTCAAAATCATACATTAGTAAACAAGGAACATTCGGAACCGTTCGATACCAATGGAAACACGTCAGACACTTCGAATGAACCCCCCGAGAAAATACCTGAAGAAGTCAAAGAAAATGAATCAAAACTAAAGGATGGAGCTCAAGTGGTAAACTAAAAATCATTTTCTTAATCATGTCCAATTTTTGTCGTCCACGGACGTCAATTTAAAAGCATGGTTTTCATTGTTCGTTTTTATATTTTACGTGAACTTGGGCGAAAATGTTGGAAAAGCATGAATTATTTTGTTGGGAATGCCATGAAAGTAATGGCCGGAAGGGGGAAGTATATATCTTCAATTGCTGCAATTGCAAGCGTTCGTTCCACGGACCTTGTTTAAAAACAGCTGAGGAAAGAGATGATGTCCCATCCAATTGGCTATGTCCCGTATGTGCTGAATTACAAGAAGCTGAACGGAATGTCAAGTAATGTTTATTTTATTATTTCATATCTACTGGAAATATCGAGAGGAGACTATTTTTTTATTCATTATACATTACTCAGCCATAAGCGCTGAATAACATACTCTCTTCTCGATATATTCAATAGATATATCACTTTATAACATTGTAACGTGTACAATGTGCGCTTTGTTAATAATGGGAGAATGTAACAATTACGTGTTTTTTCCAGACCCAACGAATTGATCTTGTTGCCGATAATTATGAAACGGGTGCTCGCAGATAAGACGGTAAGGGATCTAAGCATAGCTTCTGACTGGGTGTTCTTCTGAAATGACCCCTTTACAAATTGTGATTTTAAAATTTAAGTTCGAAAAATGTTGGAATTAACCATTCCGCCATGGGATCGACAAATTCAGAAGCTATGGTTCTAGCCATAAGAATTTAAACATATCTTCAAAAATATTGTTAATCGCCTTAATTTCATGTTTATTGCAGTATAAATCGTTAGTAAACTCAGACTCTGTTGATGTTTCTATGGCCAATCCGCTCAATCTGTCATTGGTCAATGCCAAAATGGAAACGTACAAAAGTCTGGCCGAATTTCGTGCTGACATTCAGTGTATTGTACACAACTGCCAATGTATCAATGGTGATTGAATACAAATAATATCTCTTAAAGATGCTCATTTAATATGAATGTTTCCACCAAACATTAATTGCTTCGGTTTTTTTTTTAATATTCCAGGAAACAGTGAAAAGGTGAAAGTCGCCAATTTATTGCTTGCATATGTCGACATTGAAATAGAGTCCTTGCAAAACTGTTCCGAATGCTATGAGAATTCGGACAACCATCCGGAAAATTGGTTCACAATGATTTGCGCCAAACCTCATCTAATTGCATTGGCAGAGAAGGAGATTCAAGATGGTCAATATTTCGGTGATCATACGTATGATGTCATTAACGATGGTAAAAGAATGTTCATACTATGGCCGGCCAAGATTTTATCTGATGACGACCATTTGAAGAATGTTCAATTCTTCGGTGACCATTCGTATGCTGTTACCACTAGCACCAATTTTTTGCTGCCACCGATTTCTATGTTTATTGCTAAACGTAGCAATTCCGATGAATTAAAGATCACGGAAAACACTCCAAGTAGATCTTACGAAGTAGCATTAAAAGTAACTATATCAGATTCTTTTGTTTAACTAAGACATTTGCTTTGTTTTTTCTTTAATGACAAATTTGCATATTTTTCAACTTTTAGGAGACAAAAGCTTACATCAAAAATATTGGCAATCGTCTTGGTTCATTCGTGATGGCACAGCCATCGGGGTTAATCGATCTACAGCTTTTTAATCGTCATATTCGTGAAGGTGCTGGAAATAATCAAAGTCTCCCTGTGGAAAGCGAAGCAGAAAGACACGAAACAATATCCGGCATGGAAAGAGATGCAACAAATGTGGAGATGGAAATCGATACATCATCCGATGATTATGTATCAAATCATTTAGATAATAATTTATATTCAGAACCGAGCGATTGTAATGCCAATCAAAACACACCGGGAACATTGAATGGCAAATCTGATGAGAACAGTTCCGAAGACCATCAAAGTTTAAAAAGAAGCCAACCAAGTTATTCAAACTTCGAATCAGATGAAATACCGACCGAAAGAGTGAAGGAACAAGATGACGAATGCGTAGCAGTGAAGAAAAGAAAGTTGACTTCCCAAGAAGATTTTCTTCAGCAATTAAAAAAGGTTATCGAGGACAAGGACCAAATAATCCTCGCGTCTGAAAACTATGCTCGGACTCTGCTCGAAAAGTGCACCACTTTGGAAAAAATCAACAAGGATTTGGGAACACAAATAAAGACGTTGATCAATGAAAAAAACAAAATCATAACGTCAACGGATGAAAAATGCGACCGAGCTGTATCGGAAATGAAGAAAATGGTGATTGCCGAAAAGAACAAAGAAATTGAAACGCATAGAACTAAATATTATCAGGCCCTAATGGACTTGGAGAAGGTGATTCACGAAAAAAACCAAATAATTGCGGCCAAAGATAATGAACGAAGTTCAACCGAATCAAAATTGTTGTCGTCCGAAAAACATAATCGAGATCTGCTCAGACAGATACAGCAATTAAGTGACACCAACAAGAATTTGGAAAAACATCAGATGGGATTGAATGAAATAATTGTGAGACAAGTCGAACAACGGAACCATGTTGTATCCGAATGGCAAAATGGAGCTGTAGTCCAAGAGCAGTGTAAAAAAGAATGTCCACTGAAGAGGTGCGCTGATTGTGGCGCTGTCTTTTCCACAGGACTTTTTTTATGTAACATGAAATGTCTGAAAAATTTATGGTAAATTTTTAATCTTTGGTTAAGAGTCCGAATTGAGAATAATTATATTTGTTTTCCGTTACAGTGAGAAAAAGTCGAAGAAACCAAAGTACAAAATCGGCAACAAGACCGACAAGTACTCTTTCAATAACATGTTATATTAATCAAACGCCTTTGCCGGAGTCTTGCTAATGTCTCAGGAAATAACAACAATTATTATTCGTATTTTTAAGCGAATATACAAAAATATAGGTTAATTGGCATGCAATGAATAAAAATGTCATTTTTGGGTAACATTCGTTTCCCGGAATTTGATAAATTTCAACCTCTAAACCCATAGAATTAATAAAATTGAACTTCCGCTTTTATATTTTCTTAACATAGCCAGAATGACAGGCCAATAAAAATTGCATTATTTTCAATAAAAATTATTAAAAATTATAATTTCATTATTTTTAATAAAATATTGTGTTGTCCAAACTTTTTATTGAATTTATTTGCTTATTTTATTTCTACACTTTCTTTTACTTTTCCGCGCACACCTAGTGTGTAATGCAATGGGTCAAAATTTACGTCATCTCAAAAACATGTTTTCTGGACGTTCCTGAGGTCAGAGAACCCGAATCAGGCCGTTCTGAGCATGGTTGTTGTGGGTCTGTTCCACGTCGTACGTTGTACGTTGTCCTCTGTACGCAAAATTTTTCCATCGATTATATCAACCCCCCAGAAAAGTTATTTAAAATCTGACTGTACAGGATGATTGGGGGTCCCCAGGAATAGAAATCATTAGATTTTGAGCGATTTTGGTTGATGGAAAAAAATGTCATGCCTGTAGTGAATACTAGTGATACCTATGAAATCATGCACTACTAGTGATACCTATGAAAATTTAATTTTCAATTTTCGTCCAAAAGTCATACTTAATGTAGACTTAAACACTCAAAAATATGTATTGGGGGGTTTTTTGGCACGAGAAAACCGAATCCGACGTTAGTTTTGAGATAAATTTAATTTTGGATACAGTTTCCTTGAAAAAATCACAAGAAAATGAATTTTTGTATGGGAGACATGCCTGTATGCTGCCTTAATGACGTGAAACTTTGCACAGACCATTTTTTACACAAAAAATAACATTCTGAAAGTTTGAAGAGATTTTAATCAAAATTAAAGGTACCTCCCATACAAAATTTTCAATTTTTGGCTCAAACACGAATATTTTGTATGGGAGGTACTCTTACTTTTCGTTGAAATTTCTTCAAACTCTTCGAATGTTATTTTTTTGTGATAAAAATAACCTGTGCAAAGTTTCACTCCATTAAGGTGGCATACAGACACGTGAAAGTGTTTCAAAAATAATTTTTATGGCAAAATTAGCGTCAGACATATTTTTTATAGTGTTTTGTTAGAAAATAGAATACTTTCAAATGTCGTACAAATGGGTTCATCATGAAAGTGTGAAAAATATTTTCTCGGGTACTTCTGCTATTAAATTAAAGAATATTTCGTTGCCAAAGTTGAGACATATTTTTTGGTCTCGAACTTTACGCCGCTTGAAAGACTTGAAAAATCGAACAAATATTATTTTGAACTTTCTTAATAAAATACGCAACTACCACCGTGCGGAAAAGTTCGTAAGACTCTTTATTTTAATATCAGACTCTTTAAATCCGTCTGTTAAATTCAAACGAGCTTAATCCAAATTTAAGTTGGGAAATATTTAAAAAAAATGACCATATTCTCAAACATACATTATTTATTGTTGGTGATTTTTTAATGCTTATAGTTAAAAAAAAAACATATACTTATAGTTAGAGAATACGGTCAGATGAATCCGCTTAAAACTCTATTTTAACTCCATCCACCTAATCCATCCGATAGTATCGTAATTTTTTTTTAATAAATGTTGGAACTTAGTTCGAGCTCCCAGGGTGCTTCAATTGGTACACAGTAAGAAAATATCAGCCGACGCTAAACGCAAAACCGACTGGTACGTGCGCTCATACGTTTTTTACATCTTTTACATCTAGTGACCATACGATTTTTCGTCTGTGCGAAGATACGCACAAAGAGTAACGAATCAATCGAAAAATCGTATGGTCACTAGATGTAAAAGATGTAAAAACGTATGAGCGCACGTACCAGTCGGTTTTACGTATAGCGTTGGCTGATATTTTCTTACTGTGTAATTGCTATTTTCCATCAGACGGTGAACGAGTATGTGGTAAAGTCTCCCCATTGATTTTGTATGACAATGAAAAAGAACTTTGAAGATGAATAGTGAGAGAACAATTAGTCCCTTAAGAGAACAATTCAGACTCATTCACCGCTGATTGCAAAATCAACCAAATAGCAAATATCAATGGCAGCAACTAGGTTGTTGGCACACTACAATGTCCGATAAATGTTGTGAGTACAATATTTTTGTTCTAAATAAAATCTTAAAATTACGTAATTTTCGGAATATTTTTCTTAAATTCTAAAGTTTATTATTTATGGTTCAATTTGTTGATAACTGCCGCCATTATTCGAGCTATGTTTATGAGCAGCCAATTCAAGTTTACCGCTTGAACTTTTCACTGTAAATAAATTGAGAATACCCAAAACAATTAATAACGTACCAAAAATTGTATTTTTCCAGACCTCACCAATACCGTTTATTGCATGCCGAATTGCAAATGTAGATTTGGTCCTGTAGTTTTCCAGCACCGCAGCCGCCGCAGAACTTCATTTTTTTGGCCTGTTCAAGAAGTTGTGTGTATTCATCCTTGCACTGTTTTTTGACCTCATCAATAGCATTCGCCTTTCCTTCATCGTATCTTTCGACGGTCTTTTCCAATTCCGCAATTTTGGACGTATGTTTCTGATTCCCATCGCTAAGTGTTGCAATTTTGCTCATCAACTCTTTATTATCATTGTTTAGAACGTTGATTTCAGCATCGTGTTTGGCTTGCATATCTTTTAATTTTTCTTGTAATTGTGCATAAGCAGTGATTAGATATTCGGATGCACGTGCTGATTGGGTCATGCAACTTTTCACCTTGGAAAGGTTCAACATTTCGGGGTCTTCCGATTTTTCTACCGAGTATCGAGCCTTTTTGGGCCTATTGTCATCAGACGCTGACAAATCAACCATCATATCATCGTCCATGCTTAACTTTGCTGGCTCAATCAGGTCTAAGTCGACTTGATTGTTCGAATCTACATCATTTCGAATGGAATCATCGATTTGATCGCCATTCAGAATGAAAGTGACCTCATTAATTGAACCGTCATCATTTTGTTGTGATAAATCAATTGGTGGTAGTAATTCAAGTGAAATTTTAAAGCCCGGCATTGCCTCCGTCATGTAGCGTTTAAAAGACAAAGGATCGCATGGGGTTTTCTCTGTCGCTAGACGATATGCGCCAAATTTTTGTCGAAGATTTTCAATATACTGATTGCATTCCTGAAAATAGATTTTAAATTTTGGTTTAAATGAATAATAATTTCCTATTCGATTGACCTACTTCCAAAGCCTTTTTATACAGCTGGTTCTTCTTCGTCGAAAGATTCTGCGGTGGTTTTCCCGGGTTATCTTTCGAGTATAAATAGCATTTGGATATTGCCACATCTTGATGAGTGTGATCACCGAAAAATCGGACGTTAACTCCGCTCTCATTGACCGTCATAAATTTTACGGGCCAGTAATTGAACCCCTCGACCTTTGCCTATGAAATAAAACGATAAATGATTTTAGGTTAGAGACAATTTCAAAATTAGAAGGTACTAAATGTCATACCCAAAGTACAATGTGCGGCATGCTACAAATCATTGTGAACCACTCGTCCGGACTTTCGTTTGCATGACGGTAACAGTCGGTACACTTCTTTAAACTTTCGATCTCTTCTTCGATATAGTCGACAAGGGCATCGGCCGTTTCAATTTGTTCATCAAATTCTGCAATTGTTTTTAGATAGAACAAAATCACGTTGTGATATTGGTTTTAATGGTGGTACAAGTACTCTTAAGTAGCAACTGTAAAAGGTGACAAACTCACCCTGACATTGTGTCAAAGAATTGTGACTGATCCACTCTAGATCAGTGGTAAATTCAGCGAAGCTACTGTAAGTATGAATTCTTTCCTTTATTCTGGTCAAATCCATTGGCTCGACAACACTTGACTTCAGATAGTTCTTTGCATCTTTAAATGACTCGAACTGAAATGACAGGTTACATCGCATAAAAATTGGGTTATAAAATCTCTTTTACAAACTAACAAAAATATTTTTTTTAGAAAAATCATAGATTAGCTTACCTCTTTTTCCTTCATCACCCGATTGATAAGAATTGGCAATGCGTCCAGCTTCTTTTGCCTAGAGGCAAAATAGATAAAAAGTGATACAATTTTCATATCCCATTCAATTTTATTATTGAAAGTTTCTTAATGGCACTCACTCGTCGGTATATTTCGATGTTTGTATTTTAACACAAATTGGACATAGCCAATTTTCACCGCCGGCACGGCCTGATTTTCCATATCCATTTTTCAAGCATTTCCAATGGAACGATCGTACACACTTTGAACACAACGAGATACTGCCATTCGCCTTCGAACAATACCAACAAAATGTGTCGTGTTTTGCCTTGAATTTAACAGATATTAGAATTAGAATATATTTGGAAACACAGTTTTTGCCACGACAAAACTATTCATAATAACTTTGTCGCTTGAATCTGTATATTCGGACAAAATTACTTCGAAGCAGAATTATAGCTATTTATTCCAATGGGTTTTTTTTATACACGAAAGCAGCACGGGGTAGTATATAGCGAACTTAATTGTAAGGAAAGAGACAGATAACGCTGACATTTGTAGCGTCGAGTAGCTCTGGCTCTTTCCGCCCAATATACATGTGATTGTTTTGAATTACATTACAACTTGTCAAAACAATTGACTTGTTGTCGACACTCAATAAACCGATTGAAATAAACAACAACAACTTGACATGAAAAAATTCATGTTATTTCGTATTTTTACTCATCGTTTACCATAATTATGAGCAAGTCAAAATCAACTATCTATAGATAGACCATATATGGTCGTCCCTTCGAAATGTCAATCAAACAAAACGGCCTATCAACACAAAATACACTTTTTATACATTTGTTCGGTGCATTCCCGCCAAAACACTATAGTGTATACGCTTTTGCGTCGTTTAAAGAACAGAGCCCGTACCGCTCACTCGCACGAATGTGTGAGTGGATTCGACTAGAATATGTCAAATGACCCAACGCAGCATTGGATGCCTTTAATGCTTTAAGATGATTGCATGAATAAATCCTGTGGAATTTGAAATAAATTATTTTTTTTTTTAATTAAACAACAATTTTCAATAGTCTTTTTTTCGATTAAATTATATATTTTACGGTATAAATAAAAATTTTTTGACTTAGAATTTTTTTCAGATCATAGTGTAAGAAAAAAGGAGAGAAAAAGAGAAGATTTAAAGCATGAGAGATTTTTTGTTTGAACAAAATTGAAAGGGGAGCAAATTAAAATACAAAAAGAATAAATATCAACGATAGCCAAGGGGAATTTATCATCAAAATATTCACATATAGATTTGACCTTCTAAATTCTTATTATTATTCACAGTAAAATTCGTGTGAAATTCTATATATTACAATATTCATAGGAATGATAAATTCGCTTTGGCGTAGCCGTGCTTCTGAAGGATCAAAAGCAGTAGTGTGCGGAGGGGGGGGGGGGTTTGCCCCCCCTGTGATTTGGATGAGAATTTATTTTTCGTGAAATTTATTCGAAATTGCTAGGGTTTTTGATTCAAAAAGTGAAGACCTTTTTTTTTTTTTTTAGCTCATCAAT